AATTCTGGGAGTTGAAGTCCACCCATCTTAAAGTTGCCAAGGTTGAAAAACACTGCTCTAGTGGATCCTGCACTGAGCAAGGGATTGGACTAGATGACTCTAAGATCAATGCCAATCCTGTGATACTACAATACAAAACAATTGCATTTATTCCATGCATTATAAGATAATGCTCAAGATTTTGAAATCCAGACTTTGGAAGAAGAGCTATCAGATGTATAAGCTAGAATGAGAAGAGACGGGGCACCTGATATCTCATTGCTAACATTTGATAGATAATGGAAAGGTTCCAAAAGAGACACATATTTTTGCCTTATTGATTACACAAAAGCTCTTGACTGTTATGAAAGAATGTAGACCTGGCCTTGAGAAAGGGGAAGAAATTATCAAATCATAAAGGGAAGAGTTTCAGAAAAGATTATTTAGGCCTGAGAAAGAGGAAAGCATGAGAAAGAAACTCTAAATAATCCTATATTTTGCTTGGTATAAGATGGAGTAGGGAAAAACTTTTGACAGGCCTTCAAGATTCTGTTATTCTACCCTACAACAATAAAGAGCATTCCTGGAATCTCTGCTGTATCTGTTTCTTGATCTTGCCTACCATAAAAGGCTTACAACAGTGTAGATTATAACAAACTGTGTATAAACTTTAAAAAATATGGGTGTACCAGACAACCCCATCTGTCTGTGGTAGAAGCGGTATGATGAGCAGGAAGCAACATTTAGAGCAGAATAGGAGCAACTATATGATTTTGAACTGGGAAAGGAGTGCACAAATGTTGTATACTGTCCCTATTTATTTAACTTACATGTGGAATATATCATGAAAAATGCTGGACTTGAAGAAATAAGAATTGAAATTAAAATTGCTGTGAGAAACAATACTCTTAGATATGCTTATAATAACATTTAATGCCTGGAAGTGAGGAAGACTGAAGGAATCTTTTGTTGAAGATGAAACACAAATGCTGATCTGCTGCTTAGTATTAAAAAGGAAATAAGATTATGTCAATAGGCAAAGCCAACCCAATGCAAATAGGCTGAGAAGCTAAATTGTAACAGACTTTTCTTCTTAGGCTCAACAATTCATAGGGATGGTGACCATGGCTATGAAATACACATTTGCAACTTGGGGAAAAGACTATGATATAGCTCTAGACAAAATGTTAAAGTGCAGAAATATCACATTGACAACAAAAGTAAGTATTATCAAGATTATGGTTTTCCCAGTAGTAACATATGACAGGTGGACCATTAGCTTGCCTGAATGAATAAAAATGTATGCTGGAAGAAAGATGCTGGAGGAAATTGTCAAGAATCCCTTCAGCCATAACAAAAGAAATAATTAAATACTAGATGAAACAAAATGAAATTCTCATTGGAAGCATTAACAATTAAGCTGAAGTTTAAATGTTCTGGATTCATAATGAGTTGTTGGAAAAGTCCTTGACATTTGACAAAACTGAGGCAATTAAACAATCCCAACAGAAGACATATACTATCACTGATAGCACAAGCATGCGCTTACAAGAACTCAAAGCAGCACCTACTGACATACTGACAAAATGATGTTCATTGAGTCACCAAGAGCTGCAAGTGACTGAACCACCAAACAACCACAATGCGTGACTTTGTTTTGGAGATGCAACTCAGGAAGTGGAAATGTAACTTATAGTTTAAACTTATCCTACTGCCACATTTTGAGCTGATACTGAAGGGATTGTTAATATGACTCTAAATCAATCAGAGTACATTCATGATATGCAAGTGCTTCTTTGATATATTTCCAGTATTTTGAATTTGAATATCAAGATTTGTGCTTTTGCAGTATTGGACCTCCAATGCTGAAGGAATAAGAAATCTACACCTGATTTGTAGCAATGGATTGTTGATAAGTATTGTTTGTGAATATTGGAATTAGCAGTTTTTGCTTTGACAGAAGGCCAAAGAAGAAGAATTTCAACTAGAATAGTCAATTTTAAAAAAGTGTTATATTTATAATTAGCCAGACTCCTTTCCCCTCCTTCTTATCATTATGATTATTTTGCAGTTATTTTATTAATTTTGTTGTATCTATTCTTTTCTTCTATTAATTGATTTAGCATTTTTTAAAGATAGTGGGTGGATGATCACTCTTAAATCAAGAGTGGTTTCAGCTCATTCTCTTTAAGTTTATTAACAAAGAATATGTATTACCTGCTGTTCAGTTTGAAGATTTTTTTCCAGTTCTATAGCTAGTTCATTTTTGCTTACTAAAGCAAGAGTAACTGGTAAAGGTGAAAAAGTTTGATGGATGTTTTCACAACTTGACTTTTCAGCACACTCCAGCTGTGTCATTCCAGAAAATCTATTTATAGGAGAAGATTCTGAAGACTCTTGCTGCCCATGGCCTGGGTTTAGTTTGTAGTGCCGTGATAATCCTCCTTTTCCTATGTAGGATTTTTCACAGTTCTGACACTTAAACAATTTTGGCCGCAGATCATAGTTCAAGGGGTTAAATAATGCACATACTTCCTTTTCTTTGTTGCATTCATCATCTTCTAAGCTTAGCTCAGAATAGTCATCAGAGTCAGATGGGTGACAATCAGCCAAGTCTTCTGTTTTAATAAATTTGTAATCCTTAGCTTTATATTTTGGAGGGCGAGAAATCCGCCCAGAACGAGTTGTCACTTTCAGGGATTTTTTAATCTTTTGCTCTTCGGGCTGCTTCCCATCATTTAAAAGTGCTTTTGCTGAACAAGCTGGAACCAAAGAAACATTTGAAGAATCTTCCCTGCTTTTTGTAATGGATGTATGTTTCTGCCCATGTGTAGTTATTTTACCTACGGGTACTTGTCCAAAGGGATGTAATGGGCCAGGCAGAAGTAGTTGAACGGTAGGTACAGAAGAATTATATAAGAAAAATTGCTGAGATCCAGTTCCTGTAAAAGATTGTATCTGAATAATCTCAGTATTAATGGCACTGAGTCCTAGAGGACTAGAATTCTTCTCAACTGGCTGAGACACAGCTATATTTTTAGACAGCGCTGTTGCAGAAGACAATTCCAAACTTTTCTTCTCTTTTATTTGATCAAACTCTGCTTGGATATGAGTGGTTTCCAACTGTTTTTAAAAAAAAGAGGAAAGATTAAATTTCAGGTAGATAAGATTTGAGCATGAACATTTTCTTAAACAAGTCTAATTGCAATTATATTATTTCCTTTTGAGTCAAACACATATCCTGTACATAAACAACATTTTGGGGAGCAAAAAAAGTAACAACTTGCTAGTTATGCAACATTTTAAATAAAGTCTCCTTCAGGTTCCATTAGAGACTGGGTGAGTTCATGAACAGATCCATGTTGTCTTGGCAGCAATACAGAAGGTTTTGCCCTGCCATCTTCCAGGATTTTTTTTTTTTTTTACTTCCCAGTCTACTCCATCACCCTGATATTCCCTGGAGGTTTCCCATCCAAGTACTACTCAGGTATATTTTTCTGAGCTTCTGATTCCAGATTGAGAAAGCCAGATCCAATATTTTAATTGCTGACATAAAAAACATAAGACTCAGAGAAAGGCTGCACCTTGCAAGTAAATTCCACTGAAATCAGTTACATGTATATCTAAATAAATATGGTTTGGAGGATACTGTACATCCAATGGAAAACAAAACAAACCTTATGGGTCATTTTTAAAACCAAACTTTTCTTCACCCCAACATTTATGAATTCATTTTCATTGTCAGACGACTGTAGTAAATGTTGAAGAACAACAGCAAAAGAGCAATTGGCTAGGTTCACACTCAGACATGAATAATTTTAACCATGATTTGCTCAATAGGCCATGTTTACTTTGTTCACATCACATTAAACCAAAAACAAACATGCCACATTATAACTTAATGAGTGAATGAACCCAGTCTCTCCGTGGGCTTTTCACTGTAGGATACTGAATTAGGTAGACTTTTCTCTAGCGGAGCCTATTCACATGTTCAGTTTCAAGTGTTTGGTATTAAAGTACATGAAACATGTTAAATAGCTTTTCAGATCATGTTTCCAATACCAAAAACACAGTGTTCTAAAACTCTGATATCTGGAGCAGCATTAGGTTGAACCAAACCATCATGGTATTCACCATCAAAAACATATTGCATATATGAATTTTCACAGGCAGAAAAGACAGACTCTAGCCCTACAGAGTTTACAGCCTAAAAGAGATTGGGGGAAGGGAACAAATGGAGGGGAGAAAGAGATTATCTAAGAATGATATACAGTAAATAAGAGTTTTAGGCTTGGTTGCAATAAACTCACATCTATCAAATGGAGTCCAGGACATCTACAGAATACTAGGCTGGGAAGGCTACGGTAATGGATCTTACTTCATGCCCTGTGACCACAGTCCCTATGGCTAATTTATGGTTCAGTGTGTAATATAAGCACATAAAATTGGATTGAGAAAACTAGAATTTGATTAGCCACAAGGGAAAGTATTATACAACCACTGCCTTTTAAAGCTATATTTGTATCTATTTTATATACTTGTATATTCACAGATACATACAAATATTCCAACTATAGTGTAAGTCTTTAGTATGTCACTGTCACAGGAAGGAAACTAAGGTCATCTAGTTCAGCTCCTATTCAGTGCAGAGTTTCCCAATTTGGGCAACATTGTGATACATGGACTTCAATTCCCAGAATTCTCCAGCCAATATGGGGAAAATTCTGGGAGTTGAAGTCCACACATCTCAAAGTTGTCCAGGTTAAGAAATGCTGCAGTAGGGCATCTCTGACAGATGACTATTGAGTGCTTCTTTGAAGACCTCCAGTGAAGGAAAACTTACCACTTCATGTGTTAGCCTGTTTCACTGTCTGAGAACTCACAAAATGACAAAGTACTTCCTGATATCTACCCTGAACCTACCTCCTTGTAGTTTTACCCACTGATTCTAGACTTCCTCTTGGAGACAATAAAGAATTAAGTCCACCCCTCTTCTGTGTGATAGACCCTTCAGATATTTGATGACCATTATCATACATCCTTTCTCAGTCTTTTCTTCTGCAAGCTAAACATGCCCAGTTCCTTTATCCATTCCTCAAAGGACTTGGTTTCCAGTCCTCTCACCATCCTGGTAGCCCTCCTCTGAACTCACTCCAATTCCTGATTGCTGCTTTTAAAATGTGGTGTCCAGAACCGGATACGGTGTTGCAAGGTGGGATCTGATTAGGGCAGAGTAGGAGGGAAAAGTGTCTTTCCATGATCCATGTAACTCTGTGTCAGCCCTCTGAGATAGGCCAGGTCAAGAAACAAGCACAGTAAGAATTCCAGGAATGTTCTTTCTTGTAGTAGGGTAGAATAACAAAATCTTGAGAGCTTGTCTAAGTTTCTCTCTGCCCCATCTCGTACTAAACAAAATCAAGGCAGGGGTTTTTGAGTTTCTTTTTCAGGCTTTCCTCTTTCTCAGGACTGAGTAATCTTTCTTCAAAGTTGCCCTTAACGACTCGCTCATTCCTTTCCGATTCCCCAACCCAGAGCTACATTCCTTCACACACTGATACGGGATAAAAATCATGCCAAGCTACAATTCGCGTAACGACTCTGTTTACGATTTCCTCGGAAGCGCATCAACAAACACCGCAGGCTTCTACCTTGGACAGGAGCTCCGTAAAAGGGAGAGACCCCGCCTCGGGTCCGACCTCCTGAGCCCCATCCTGCTCCGGCTGTGACGGGCGGTGCAGGGTGCCCAGCGCCGGCAGCGCGGACCCCGAAGGCGAGGCGGAAGTCGCCGGGCTGAACCTCCGAGCCAGCAAGACGGGAGATGGCCAGGCGGTCCCCCGCCCTTGAGGTAATACGGCAGCCCCGACGGGACGATGGTCCCTGGCCCTCTCCGTCGCCTTTCCGACCGGTGGACGGAGCCCCTCGTCCTGCAGTTTTCCCGGGTCACTTCCAGCCACGTCCTCGGACGCCCGACGCGG